AACTGAATTCTTACTGTCACGAGAATGCTTGTTTTCCTGTTTCTACCGTTCAAAGAGCATAATGTTGCAATCGGTGCTTGACAGTACATCAGGTCTACCGTATTGCGGAGATACATGACCACAACACATCTACGCCTAACCCCCCCCCCACCAAAATAATCGCTGTCATCCAGAACTGTCTGAGTACATTTCCAGACAGTTCCGCCTCCGTGGTATCGTCAAGTTCATCAGTTCAACTGACTCAAGCGACGGCTGAACATTTCGTAATGTACTTAAAGCTATCCATGTGGCAACAACATTAAGTGAACCAAGTGATGAATAGAACCTGCACCTCGTCCATACCCAAGCCTCAAATGAAGCCCCCGGTGGATTCGTTCAAGTTGTTATTACGTAACCGGAGTCGCAAACGGCTTGCCAGCAGTGAGGTTTCGGTAATTAGGACGATTCGTCAGGGGTTGTGCACTGCGCACAACCTCACCCCGATTTGAATGTTTACATCCATCAAACGCGGACCTATCACCAGTGCGCTTATTGAGCATGCCGTCCCCTGAAACGCACCGGTCCACACATCGTCACCGCTTTTCAGGCGGCACTAGCCGAAATGCCATGCCAGCCAGTCCTTCAAAACACTATTTGGGCGAAACCCGTCATGTAAAATATCTAGTCCCCTTAAATCACTTCATCAACTCAAAGAGAGGACTACCGTAGCGATATGTTTGCGTTTCGACTAAGCAGTTCAACAGGTGGACGCCCCAGTGGCATAAGTAAGCTAACTGGTGAGTTGTGGATATTCCTCAATCAATAAGTTATCTTGCCAGTTGCATTCGTTATTTGTGTGCGCACAACATCGGTTACTCCGGTTACGTAATAACAACTTGAACGAATCCACCGGGGGATTCATTTGAGGCTTGGGTATGGACGAGGTGCAGGTTCTATTCATCACTTGGTCCACTTAATGTTGTTGCCACATGGATAGCTTTAAGTACATTACGAAATGTTCAGCCGTCGCTTGAGTCAGTTGAACTGATGAACTTGACGATACCACGGAGGCGGAACTGTCTGGAAATGTACTCAGACAGTTCTGGATGACAGCGATTATTTTGGTGGGGGGGGGGGTTAGGCGTAGATGTGTTGTGGTCATGTATCTCCGCAATACGGTAGACCTGATGTACTGTCAAGCACCGATTGCAACATTATGCTCTTTGAACGGTAGAAACAGGAAAACAAGCATTCTCGTGACAGTAAGAATTCAGTTTCTCTTTACCAAGATTTGCAGTGAACTTGGATAATTTTCTCAGGACATCCATTGCAAACCCTTTTCTTCAGTTTTCAGTGAGTACGGACTGCAAATTATCCTGGCCTTGTTCAACAACATTTTCACGAGGCGGAGTTAGCAGGCAACGTAGACGAAGTGGGAAAAGTAAATATATTGGAAAAAGGAAACAAACAAACGATATGTTACCAGACATGCCTGGTACACGACAACCAGGCGGTCTGATTAATGTGTTGTCCTCCATAGGTTGCTTCGTGGTGCGCGGAAGGGTTTAGCCATCGCGGTTTCTTAGAAGTACGTCAGATTTGCGCATTTTGCATGCACAAAAATGAGGGATACACACAAACTGCGCAAATCTATTGTGTTCCGTGAAGGTGAATATGGTGCGATTCGCAAGTCTCCCTGATTGGTAACGCTCCTCTTGGAACGCACATTCCAGATCCCTGTGTAATGGCGCGCGGTCGCATATAAACAGACAGTTATCAGTAACATCGATACCGTTGGCATCAAGCATTTGTGAACGGCGCTTGATATTAAACCAGGTCTGCCTTATTGCACATATACACGATTGCTTGAGCACCACTTGTGTACAACCCCACGCGCAATGTCATCCAGAAGCGGCGGAGTACATTGCTAGACAGTTCAACCTCCGTAGTATCGCCCACTTCATCAGTTCAACTGACTCACGGGATGGTTGGAGATTTCACAGTGTGGTTTATGCCATCCCTGTGGCAACATGATTGAGTAGACCATGTGATGAACGAGACCCGAACCTCGTCCATCGTCGGAACTATAAAGAAGTCCCAGTGAATTCGTTCAAGTCGAAATCTGCTTGACATCAGTGAGGATTTGTTGATAAAGACGATTCGTCGGGTGTGCCACGCACACAAACAGCTGATGCGACCGGTAAGACTACTCTGCTTTCGATTGCGCATTGTCTACTACTCACCAATATTAGGAGGACAGCTATTAGACATTCATTTATTGTGAACGAGCTTGATAGCTATCCTTTACTCTTCCTATTTTCTATTTCTTGACTGTTTGAACGCTGTACTGGGTTAGCCAGATTGGCACACCCACGTCATTGTTAATGGACGCTCATCGTCATGTCCTTTTCAGCAGCGCCATTTGCAAGAACTTTTTCCATTGGTTTTTTCTCATCACTGTTCTACTTGGTTATGTTAAAGGAATATTTAGTTGTCACATGCGTATTGTACTAGTTTTCAACGTTTGGGTCTGCATTCCTTATTCTCGTTTGTCTCATGACCTTTGTTTAAACGTTTCGTTTCGTCATTCTGTTTGGCCCGTGCCCGTCACTGTAAATGGACTTTCGCTTTACGCTTGGAGTCCAATAATGCTATTTTTAAGGACATAGGCGATTCGCTCTTGAGTACACGGTTGCTTATTCGCCGTTGCATTTGACGTTTTTCCTTCAGTTGGTTGGCTCAAGTGTACTTTAGTAGCTTCCCTTCATTTTGCCCAAAATCTATATAAACAACTGTGATTTCATGTATACAAGTCTCCTTCGGACTCCTTTTGACTTCTTCTTGCGGTCGTGGGGTGAAGGTGTCAGTGGCGACACAAGAACCAGTGTGCGAAATTGCGCTTCTAGGGCACCCACCTATTTAACTGAAGTCCTCTTGGGTTGATGAAGGGGACTCAGTGTTTTACATAACAAGTTTCGCCCATACACCGTTGTGGAGAATCGGCTGGCATGGAATTTAGGCTAGTGGTGCCCGAGCGGCGGTGAGAAGGTGTGGACCGCGACTCGTTCCTGGGTCGGGCATGCCCACTGAAAGGTCAGCGCTTGACGGATTTGGCGATTCGAATCAGTGTGAGTGCGCGCGTGCTGCACATTGTTACCTCACCGTGGTTTACTGATGTGCTTGATAGGGCACTCGTGAACTGCCGGCTTCTTCGACTTGGTCTCGGGTCACCAGATATAGTTAAGCTGCACCAAAATTTGTGTTACGTCACCTTAATCCCCGTTTCCTTCGGTTTGCCGAGACCTTCGTAATAGACCGGATGAAGCCAACTTGACGTGTTCAAAAGCAATTATTCGTCTGTTGTATGCTACCCTGGACATGAGTTTGGACTTTCATCATTCAGTCGGCTCCCCAGGCTTGCCTGGTCGCACCCAGTGTTAGGTTATCGGTAATGATACCAGAGTCAATAGGAAATACATACATCTCCTGGTTATCGTCTTCTCACTGTGGTTTTTAAATGTTTAAGGGGAACTAACCACTTTAAATTGAATTAGGTTAAATAGTCTAGGCTCGATTGAAGTGAAGATTTCCAACCTGGCAACGTAGGTGTTAAATGCTAAATTTTGTCCACCCAACCGGCGTGTAGCCTGTTCACCAATATGGCGGAGCCTTTAAATAAGCCATTGCCTTTCACTAAACATCATTTTTGCTTTATTTACTGCGGATCTATAAGTTTCGTAGGAGTATTTCGACAACTTTTTGTCCAAAGCACTTCCAAGGTCACCAAGACCTTGATCTCCATATGTTGAATACTTATCGACATATCGCGTACTGTTCGCGGATTGTTGCTTTTGGCCACGAAAGTTTAGGCCAGTTTAAACCGACTACGAAGAAATGTCTTCGTAGAACTAAACCATCGGCTGAAAAATACCCAAAGATTCTGTTTATCAATTTGGGCTCAGTGCTCAAGAATGCGGGTCCTTTTACTCGAATGACATCAGTGAACCCTTTTCGCTCTTCTCTGTCTCTTTATAAGATTATGAATTATTGAGGTGTCATTTTATGCTATTCACAGTTGATCCTGTAAAGTGCTTAAAATGCACCCATGACATGGCTCTACTTGAATACTGAGACTCAACACTGCCGTTTAGTAGAACTGACGAGTGGAGCCAAGAATGAAGGTAACATTGCACTCTGATGAAAAGTAGACGACTGTGCTAAACGCAACGCACCCCAAATCGTTGCTCCAACATTTGAGTCGGGAAAACGCATCCATTGAGTTTGATCCAATCGAATATACATAAAGGTTGTTCGAGCCAAATGTGAAAATTGTATACTTCTGATTGAATGTCCCTCCTTGCCACCAGAATATTTTTACAATATTTCGGGTTAGTGAGTCGCCGAAAACCTGCATTCAACAAAATGTTGGTCTGTGTATGTGCATTAATACTGTGAGTTCAATCACGTCGAAACGGATACGTGGTAAACCCACTTTCGACAGTGGGTCTTTGAAAGGTAAAGGGTGAATTTGTTATGCCTCACTTCTCTTCCCTTCGGGAGGTATGTGCCATTTCACAGAAGTAGAACCTCTTCTGTTAGCAAACGGCAGGACAGTATACAACCCAGACAAGGCATGCAGCGTGAGCCGTTCACCGTGGTGTCTGCTAGTATGTTCTGTACACCACCAGAAGTTAACGGTGAATTTTCATGGGTCACATCCCAAGCAGCTTCGATACAACTGTGTCTCCCACCCACACAGCTTCTGGTCTTATTCCCTCCGGTCTATACTGAATACGGCGTGACCAGTCGGAGTTACTGCACAACCGCAGCACAGAGGTCCTAAGGATGTGTAGTTAAAGTGATGGGATGTAAAAGCGAAAACAAACACTACCAAATACTGTTACTGCCACATATTTCTGATGCAATAGTCTCCTGTGCACCGATTTACTAGAGGCAAATTAATTGAATAGCATGTCAGCACAATAACGCGTACAAGTTGAAAATGAGTGCATCGTACAAACCTGGTGACATCAGTAAAATCGCAGCCATCAAAGCGACCTCGGTGTGATCGACGCCCAACCGAGCCAATTTGATTGCAACCGATCGTATAACTTGCGCACACTTCTCATTCGACGTGGCTAACTTGGGATAGAAAGCGTTCACGATAGGCGGTGGTGCCGTATTGGTCGAACCTGGCGACTCGCGGTCGGTGGTAGTTTGATCTGTGCCATGTAAGGTTTGACATCGCACTGGATATTGATCCACCAGGCCTTGTGAACGAGCGGAAAGACTGATAGAGTAAGCGGCACGCAAAGTGACGAGATCCAGGCAGCAATCGCGAAGTAAGTGTATTTGATCGTCCGCTCCGAGCTGGAACATTTGTGGAAGAAGAAAAAATCGGAATAAATGCAGTGATATTACGGTAACATGCAACGTGGTCCGGATACTTGGAAATAGCCATGATCCAGGGCTGGAGTCTTAATAGTGTGTTCATTTCAATTGGAAACAAGCATCAGCAGCACGCCGGTACGCCGTACGGATGCTTCGCTATCACGCAACCACCACCACTCGCGTGATGTGTAAGGATATTGCGAGAGTCGCCCAGTGCTCTACGTTGTCTCAAACTCGCGACCTCCGGGTTGCAAGGCAGAAGGGTCACGGGTTCATTTTAGTTAAACAACTGTGATCCGGGTACCGAAATACGATGGATCCAGTTGCCCCAACTCACGACCCCAAAATAACAATAACTGGAATAGAGAGAATTGTAGAAAAGTAATTCGGATGAAAAAGTAACAGCCAAGTGCAAGAAATCGAATTCAAGAACGCCACCAACCGTGCGATCACGTCGAGCATGTTAGAGTCTCTAACCATTGGTGTGAATAATCCCGGAGCCCCAAGCCCAGAGCACTGCATGTACCAGTCTGACCAAGTCTCTCAATTTCTTCATGCTTTTATGCCAAGTGAGCAACTGGTCACCTAACCGTTTCACCCAAGTCGGTACAGTGACAGCGTATAATGTACACCGAGGAAGCCGGTCAACGGGCACACAGAGGACATGACCTAGCCAAGGTAAGCGGCTAAGTTTCATCAAACGCTTCAGTCAGGGGTTAGAGAGCTTCTTGCCAGAAATTTGCTGGCGGACCTCCGCATACCTCGTTCAGTGTTCGCACCAGATGTGATCAATATTCCATGAGAACCGGTGATCAAATACGGGCAAGCGACTAATATCCTCACTGTGAACTGGCCAAATTTCTGGTCTACACAGTAACGCCGCTTTTATCACAATATTTTACACCCTACCTTTCACTAACAGGCTGATGTCTTACTGTCTCCATAGAAGACTGGACCCCCGAAATGCCACGTCGGCCTTACTGGTACCTGCGCAAGAACAAGGAACCCAAAGATCAGTTAAGTGATTAATATAAAAATCGGATAGTTCATAACGTCGCCATGGCTATTTTTTGGCTGCGACCAGTAGGCAGCTTGGATCAACAAGAAGTGTTTAGTCATAGTCACTTGCTGAAGCCAGCAGTAGCCTGAATTCATACTTCTGCCTTAATTGCCCAACGGATACAGCAATAAGTTTGAACCTACCCAAAGGTCTGTGTCGTCAATGCGAATACTGGTAAAATGGAGTGCCCAATTTCATATCGAATCATAGTGCATCAAAGAAAATCCACTGGTGCTCATCTCCAGAACCGGAACATCTCAGTGGTCAGAAGCAACTCCATCAAGTGCACAACAGATTGGATATGGCTCATGAAACGCGCGAGATGATTTGATAACACCCTATAGATAAACAGAATGTCACAACCCAGTATGAAGGTGTCTTGAAATTGTTGTGAGTGGCAGCTGAATCTCTGTTCTATTCTCACGAAAGCGCTGTGAGCCAATGCGCTTGTGATCGATGTGGTTCCGGAAAAATAGCCGTTAAGCTAATCACAGTACAGGGGGAACACTATGAAAAATAACGAGACGTGAATTCACACTTGCAAGGGAATGCCGACTAGATGACGACACTTAACCCTAGGAATAGATAATCGGAAGACATCAACAGTATGCCGGTACACAGTACCGACGTTTTGCTGCCGCGCACGGCCGCACGTGGGCTAAGGATACTGCGAAGATCGCCCTGCTCCTACGCAGACTCGAACCCGCGCCGTCAGATTACAAGGCAAGCTTGTTACCTTTAGGCTACGGGCCGCCTAGACGTTTTGTTACTGACTACTGATAGATCAGGATGGCAACAATGGTGATGTGATGTTAGCGGAGAACTACCTTGTAAAGTCAGTACTATCAAATCTACCCACCTTCGACACTCCAAACTAATGGTTTGATTTGGTATGCTTTAAACTTTTGCACACTCAACTGTAAACGACAATAGGGTAAACTGTTAACATGCACTTTTACTCCAAGAACAGTATGTTTAAATCCTTCAGCTTATGTTTCCAATGTCACTGGGCTCTGAATCCGACAGATGCTAAGAAAACGCATTTAGTCATCAGTTTTCTTTGTACATACTTTCTGGTATCGCAGCTACAGTAACACATCTTAGCCCATCGCCCAATAGTTATCCTGCCAGACCGTGTCTGTAGTCTAGTTTGTATAAGCCACAGTGGTCTTTATATAAATCTGGTACGATGTGCTTCTACTAAGCTTAGTTTCGTCGTTGTATGTCTCATCGGATCTAATGGATAGTCAACTTTATATCGGGCCTGTTAGACAACGTAACATGTGGTCGGGAAGACAATTTCATCGTTGTTCCACAATACTTGCTTTCTTTGAAGTGAAGCGATCAACAGAACAAAACGCTAGCTCACCGTCCCAAATCCGGGAACCATCTTTGCGAACGCAACCAAACGAGCGACCATTGGTTCTATCCCATAAGCCAAATCGCAGAACGTGTTTGAGTAGAATGTTCTTGCTTGTCGAATATCATCTTGTTCCACGTCATCCAGCTGAAAAAGAGAATAAAATGGTGTGTTATTTCACTTTCAGGGTTTTATCTCTCAATTTGGTATCACCTTGAAGTAAAAAGAGAGCACCTGTTTCTCATTCGCTAAATTACTTGTTCACATACACACATATATGGCTGGCAGCATCCGGTTCCGGATTTTCCTGTCACTGCGGTCTCCACGGGGACAGCCACAGGACGCCTGCGCCCACAGAGAGACCATGAATGGCTTGCGCTGCACCACCCACAGCTCCATCCACACACTCCATATCCAGTGCAAACCCGAAGGAATAATACCGGGAGGCATGCGGATGGGAGCCACGTTTCATCAACGGAGCCGGCCCACACTCCTTCACAGGCAAACACAAGCACGCTGTATTTGGGGAATCAAGCGCACACAAGGCGGTGGCTGGACCGTAGTCCACTCCAAACTGAGCATGGAATCACCCTTGGAGCTTAACACGGCCACGAGGACCGTGCACCCCGTCCCTCTATCAACGACCAACTGCCTGGAACCAGTATAGACGAGGTAGTGGGTAATAGACAGGTAGGCACCTTATCAACATACACATTAAGCGCAGCCACACCGGGGATATCAGGCAAAAGCCAATCACTTGTAGCGACAATATCAAATAAAATAACTCGAATAGTGCATACATATACGGAGACATAATTCTGCACTAAATGAGCATATGAAATAAATTGGTTACCAACAAATCTGCGATAGATTCAAAACGCAAGCGCGAAAATGTTATCAAAGTTAACTATAATTAACTTGAGCGACGTGTGCATACATACACACACTGAAGGAAAACCAGTTACGTGACTGTGATTCATGAAAAAACAGTGTACAGGCCACAAAATTCTGTTTAATCACACTGCGAGGTGGCGGATGTGACTCGCCACTGAATAAAGTCGCTGCCCATACTTACGCACTGGCAAGTTGGCTAGAGCCTTATTTTCTTCATTATAATCTTAGATCAGAGTTAGGAACAATAGCCGGAGGACTGGGCAGGCTGGAGTGTCATACTTCCGCGGGGTTTCTAAGGATCTAATGTACTTGTAGTGAGAAATCCAACTGATTAGATATAAGTAATAATTCCGGAGAGTTAATCGATCAGGTCTCTTCCCTTCGTATTAAATTTCGGCCGTTACACTGGTTATTCAATAACCTCACTTATCGTAGTGTTGCCTATCGATTGATATCGACGATGGCGACGGTCGTACTGTATTCACGTCGATGCGTTGCAGGAATCATAGCTGAGAAACGGAAGTGAGCCAAGTCACAATGATCCGTTTGGAAGTTGGATCTCAGACCGGGTTCACCACGACTACCAAAATTGTGCTGTACACCATGAACGACAGTGCGACTAGGGCACACACCTTTGTTGGTTGTCATAGGCTGACAAAGATTTAAAACAGTCACCAATGTAATTCGTTGCAACGGCATTCAGCACATGAACTTGAAAATGGACTCCTATTCATACTTTAGCTATTGGAATCCAAGAATAATTATTTACTAACTTTGCAGAGTCAAGCGCCCAAGATATTGAAACAAGTTAGTCTCCCCTGACCTTACCTTAGAGAGGAATCCTGTCACTTGAGAGTCCACAATGGTCTGTACAACACTTCCCTCAGAAGTTTCTTCCGGTTTGACCATTTCGAAACTGTCCAACTCATCCGAAGTATCGATCTGTAGGTATGAACGTGAAACAGAGTGAGAATCGATTCGTAAAACAAAGTACTCCTCTCATTAAAGAAGTTCAGGGGAGTGTACAAACGATTTCGCTCGCTCTTTCTGCGAACTGCTACAGGGCCCATTAGGAGCATCATCACTAGCATAGAACAGTTTCCAGTCCATCAGAGGCACGATTAGCAAGAAACCAGAGGTGCCATCAACATTTTCTTCGTCATCAAGTAGGATTAAAATCAGTTATGGATATGCGCATTTAGCTTCATGTGGATAAGAAGAGGTCAGCAACCACCTCGCAACCACCTTTCCTGGGGAGAAGTGTCACAGAGGCCAGAACAAGGGGGGTATCAGCAGCAACATTTAACACGGGCTTGTGAAGTAGATCTCTCAAGGGAGTCACAGGTCACGCATGTCCTCATGCAGACCGCATTATATATATATATATATATATATATATATTGGCATCGAACGATGGCAGCTCAGTAGAACAACCGTGTCCTCTTCAAGTTGAAAAAGCGTATAGTGGCAGAGAATGCGAACACGTGTGGTATCACATCGAGTCATTGAGTAACGGTGACTGTAGCTCATCTCGCTTAATCCAGTGATTGGAACCACAGACTCGTAAGATTAACGTCACAGGTTTTAGCACCCTAGGTGACAAGTGGAATGCGTACTGCCGATAATTCCTGAAAGGATAAAATGGTTGTCCACCGCTTTTCTGGGTTAGCAGCGGCCAGCACTCGATTAATCGTGGCTGTGATGGATCTATTTCGATTGTGAGGAATTTACTACCTCTACTTTGGCTCCACTTGAACCTTTACGTCTTCCAGACACATACAAATTAATGTATACCTGCTTCCCTTACATGTCTACCGTTGGTCTTAAGCACATAATTGACCTATATCCAACCTTTGCGGTCAATCCATGTCGGTGTGTTCTGATCTCAACAATGATTGTAGCTCACTTGTGACTGGAATGGAAAACCTCTAAACGGTTCTCGAGATACCACCACCCAGAAACAATTCTCCTCGTCTAATATTCATGCCTACCAACGTGCGCAGTGCTAAGCATTGGGATACCAGATCAGATGGAGGATTGTGTCAAGGAAAGTGAAACGAAGTAAACCACAATCACACGAATGTTCACCTTCGAGTTTGTGCTGTTCTTCTGTATTTTATCATACGCCTTCCGAAGAGTGTCCACCAGCTGCTCATCTGCGTGGGTCCATGGTAAATAGCTACTAGCGCTTGGTTGCTCCACATCGTCCGGCGTCATTGTATTGTTCATTTCAGAACCGTTTAAGGATATCGTTTCGTTCTGTTTCACGACAACCGGTAAAGAGGAATGAACAGACTCGATGGGTGAGTTGTATACGCAATGCTCACCCGACGGTGTAATGATTGGAGATGACGTCACTTCGCTCAGCGTCAGCCGATGCAAAGCAGTAGCAGACTCGTTTTTTGACCCGCTCTGTGGACTTGTTATCAACCCGTTGCGCATGGGAAGCGGCAAGTGACTCGTGATCGCTGAGATCTCATTGGTCCACTGTGGCTCCGTTTCCGGTTTACCGACACTGTTCGGCACCATGGAACCTGTATGCGCAACCGACCATCGAAGGTTTTCGCATGCTTCTGAGTTGGACATACCGGCCACTGCTGTCTTTCCTTCCTGAGCAGGCGATGTACTTGACGCTGAGGGTCGCCCGGTAAGACTGGCCCCTTCAGAACCCGAGACTGCGACAGACTCTTGCATATAGTGCACCAACGAAGTTCGATGCAGCAGTTCAGACGGATGAATGCCTAGGGTTGACTGGACGGCCGGCAAAGTCACGCGCACTGGTTCATACACCGGGTGATTCCTATACTGGTTTTGACCGTGCTGCGGAGATAGAAGAGGTGCCATGGCTGAATGCGACTGTCCAGTTAGTTGACTGGCAATAGGTATTGTGGATTCATTGTTGTAGGGCAAGTGGACGCCTCTGTTTAGATCCAACTGAACTCCACTTGAGTGATAAGCTTCTGCTGTAGTATTGGTGTAATGTGGAACTCCTGATGGCGGTGCCACTGGATGCTGAATGGCCGAAGCCACACGGATAGGTGTTTGCTTTCGTAGTTGCTGCTGTAGAGACATGTGTATTGAATATGACGATTGTTTTGGTGGACTGGGTCCAGCGGAGGTGGCACCAGCTTGAGGGTAATGATTGGCATGTAATGAACCCTCAGATTCCGCTCGTTTCCTGGCTCGGTTGGCTTCGATAAGGCGACGCTTGGCCTGACGTTTGTCCTCATCTAGCACCACTGAGAAGAGGTGAAAAAACACAAGCTACAAAGAACGAGTGCGTAGGTCAGGACAAACCATTAAGTGTAATTATAACGTTAAAGCCCCTCAGATCGATATGGGAGAACTGACTGCACCGCGATACATGTTGATAACAGCAACCAAAGGGGAAAACATCCACCGTAGCCTTAAGGATCGCAAGCCTGCCTTGTAATCCGAGGGCACGGATTCGAGCTTGCGTAAGGGACCGGGCAGTATCCTTTGCCCACGTGCGACTGGTGGTGGTCGTACAGTAGCAAAGCGTGGGTACTGCGCACCGGCGTACCGCTTGTGCATTCTGTCTAAAATAATCTGTGGGAACGGAGGGAGTTTAGCTCGGTTCAGTTCAGTATACAGTACGGTCTGACAAAAGCAATGCGATGATCTAACTGCCATGGATCGAGATCATGGTAATACCAACTTATAACGATGGGGAAGATGAGGCAGAATGCGAGATGACACACGAAGTAGTCAATGAAAAATGTGAGTAAGGCTAATCGGATTGGATGCAAGAGACTAACAGGAGGGACTCCATTGGCTAAGCGACTGCGTCACCTTGAATAAGGTCTGGACGTTTCCATGAAATTTTTCAATCTGTTTGTTCACGCATTTTGTCAGGTCAGCTATAGATCAACACATAGTTTATTTCATTCAAAGGAGGAGTTTAACAAATCATTCATTGTGGCCCCAGAGTACAATTTTCCAGAAATCAACTGGTGGAATTGATATTACTCGCTAGGTGATTCCACCAGATATGTTCAATAATCTTCATTCACCTGTGGTCAAAAACGGTCGACTGCTTGATGTCAACAGCGCACAGTGGCAATCTATCTTCTCCATACGTTAGCATCTGTGATATAGCAGCGCTGCCTGTATAGATTGATAACCGTTTGTCTCAAAAGACAACTGACTTTGAAAACTCACGCAGGCTGTGTTGCTATACGTACCGATCTCAATGTCGTAACCACCAGAAGTGATACAACTATCAAGGTAGAGGAACAAATCGACTAGTTCAAGTTGTTGTTGTTGTTCCGAAAAATAGGTGCGTTCGTTTACTTCTGCACTTTAAAATGCAGTATCGATAGACTATACATTCACATCTAGATGAATGTAAGTGTAGGGAAAACGTGGTAAGCGCATTCTAGTCTTTTTAGATTTTGCAGACTAGCCGGAACGATTTGGGGCCTGTTAGCAGACACGAATCAGTGGCATTTGGTGGTCTACGGTAGTGCTCTAAGTGATCATAATCAAGACTTTGCAGACGATGACAACCAAAGGCAAGTAACATCTTATGAAATACACCACACAGTAACCGTGTCTTCCAGTTGGACTGTAAAAACCGTATTTGATGCTGAGACATCTGCGATGTGGGTGATTATAAAATGCGGTAGTAAGGTAAAAATGAATTTAACTCGCCTATATTGCATTGTAATCGCATGATAACCAATTATTTATGGCCGCTGTGGCTGAGAATTTTTCTTTCCTACGTTCAAAATTTAGATCACAGCCCTTTCCCCCCTTCCTACTAGCCCTAGCCTCCTAGGTTGATGGCCGAAACGGCAATACGGCTTGGTGTAATCCCAAAGGTAATGGTTCGAATCCGCGTAGGCGCGTGCGATCTTGCGGTACACCCGACTGGTTACGGTCAAGTGGCAAAAAACTGTCGATGCGGTGCGCCGGTGTGTTGTTGATTCTCCTTTCTTCTTAAATTACCGACGTATTGCTGTTGACGAAAAGATGATGTTGGTGACATTTGTGCTCTATGGTTCCCTCTACCGCTGACCAATAAAACGGTGTACCATTGTCCCTGAAAATTGTTAACCTTTGCTTAAAACATAGGCATTCCTGGTACACCTAGCAAACTCTGCAGTAACGTGGTCGCGAATATTTCGAATGCACGGCCACGAGTTGTAGTCTCGCACTGAGCGAAGGAAATGCGCATCACTGAGGAAAACGTAAAGGACGAGAAGCCCACACTGTGGCACTGACCACTTAGACGTGTGTGGTCATATCAAAGCTTTTTTGAAACTGCCAGTAGTTGTTACCTAACAGATAGCGAACTGCAGTATAGCCGTTGAGCTTGTGAATGGACTTGACCACCACTAGACAGCACTAGTGCGGAGTGGAATCTGATCCCGAAAGTGCTGTTACTTCTATAGGGTTCAGGTCCGGGATCAATCACCTGGGAACGCTTTTGGCTGGTATCGAGTACAATTCCTCACGAGCAGTTTAAGCGTAAGATGAAACGAGGGAGGGGGAAAATGATAACCCTAGTACCTCCAAGCGCTTAAAATCCAAAGGCTTGTATAGGCGTATCTTCATAATGGTAATCCTCTCCTAGGATGGATCAAAAACTTTCTTTTACACGGGCACTTGGAAGTCCGAGTGTGAGAATCCCTGTCAGATCCCATCCAAGTTGAACGCAAAGTAGCGTGATTATTTTGGATGTAAATTAAGGATACCACACGCCTCATAAGCTCGAAGTGCCTGCTTTTTGCACATATCAAGATCTGTGGGACGACCAATACACCAGATGATATCACAGTACTACAAGCCGATCTGGATAGGATATACGCATAACAAATCCAAGATATACTTCGATTCAATGTGGACAAATGTAGTGCTGCACCTACGGCACAAGTTGGAGTACTCCTACAAACGACTTCTGGTGAGAAGGATCTGGGAGTTTTGGTCTAGGTTGACCTTAGATGTTCGAATCAGGCTGAAACCGCGCCATGAATGGGCATCCAAGACGTGTGCCTCCTGTAGCGGACATTTGAATGATTCGGCCGTTTGATTTTTTCACAACTTCTCGGCTCATACATACGGCCACATGTGGAATACGCAATACAGGTCTGGTAGCCATGGCTGAGATCTCACAGCCTTGGATATACCCCAAAGCCAGCAATCAAGAATAACGGTCTGCATAGTTTGCCGTATGAACGTAGGCTTCAAGTGCTCGGAGCCTTCAGCGGACAGTATCGGCGGTTGCGTGGGAACCTCATTTTGACTTACCAGATTTTGAAAGATCCCAACTAAACGTGCCGCTATTTGCTAGAGCTCAGTCACAACAGAAATTTGAGAGGCCATCATCACAAACTGGCAGAGCAGGACATTCGTTTGGAATGCCATTGGAATTCCTTTTCCACACACATTTGTAGAACTTGGAATGCCCTACCGGGATCTGTCATTTGAGCTCCCACGCTTACGGAGTTAAAAGTCCGAGTTGATCTTGCACTTATTTCGCTGCACCATCTTACATGACTCATTACCCATGGATAAACACAAGCGTCTGTAAGCGATTTCACTGGCGGTCAAACTCAAAATTTCATTCTACTTGTTCACTTCCTGTATGTGTATATCAGGAGACATGATTTTTAACGACATCACATTTGCCGTCATTCCTTAGGAATTTACCTTAGATTTACAGCTTATACTACGTGTAAACCCAATTTTGCTAACAATTTTTGATATAAATTTTGTAAGTCCACCATAACCATCTTACGGGACCTGTTAAGCATTAGCATTTTTAACCGTATATAACCATTGTTCCAATGGTAACAATGTAAATTAGTATGCTCACCCAATCTACGGTTAGACATCTGAGAAAAAAAGGGCCTTGATAGGTTCAGTGAAATACGAGCGCGTAACACAGCCTCCGTGTGGTTACATAGACAAAGACAACCCAGACCATTGAAGTGGGTGGGCAGTTTTCTAGGGCCTCGTAACTAACTTGCTCGAATAAACTGAGTCGAGCACAGACTATGAGTCACACGGTACACGTATGCGTTTGTGCTTTCCGATGAGTTGTTTCTTCCACTTGAGATGTGCTCACAGTCATGTACTTTAGGCAAGCAATCCACGGTTGCCGTTTTTCATGTAGAGGACAGGGGATAGACAGGCGGCAGGTCAAATTTCGCTAAACCCCATGAGGTCGGAAGAGGACGGTTGCTTGGTTGCATGCGTTGGTTGCCGGTATGTGGGAAAACCCCGCTTTCGGTTAACAAAGAAACATGGTTTAACCAGGCAGCCTAACCTCTAATCGATTGGTAATCGAGCGAACTGGTTGAAGGAGGCGGATTCGTGCGTTAGCTGCTTGAGGAAATTAAGTGGGAAGAGTTTCGTAGGCTTAGTTGATAACGTCACAGAACACGAAGGCACAGTGACTTGGAATGCGAATCAAATTGCGGTTCGTAACAGCAAGGATGAAATAGCAATAGTCTGTTGTCGAGTAGATGCCAAAAAATTGGAACACAGGTCAGCTGGTACAGGAATATAGAGCAAAGGCGAGTCAAGTGAAATGGAGAGACCCTGTAGGAAGCTGCGAAACCTAGCTCACCAGTATGCGTACTCATTGGGTAACTGCCGATATCCCCCCGCCAAAACGCTACCCTAGCAATGGATGTGTCCAAACCTGAAGTACACTGAAAATTCCTCTGAGCTAAACAGAAAAATTGGCACTTGAATGATGATAGGTTTTCGGAGACGGTCTGGGGAATGTCGGTTCCCACCCGACCATACGTTTGCTTCCTTCAGCGCAGCTGAGCAAATGCCGTAGAATAAAATTTTGGAGGAAGATAAAATGTCTTTGCGTGTTCGTAACAAAAACGTCATAGACAAAGACTGGCTGTGTAAGGGAGAATAAGGACACTAAATTTCAGACGGAAATTGGTCTTGTTAACTTGTCTCAGAGATGAACCTGGATCACTAGATCCGCATCATTGGCGACCTATGAGGAACACTGTCCGATCTCCAAGATTCCCGACCATGATCATGTCTATGAGGACTTGTCTCGCATTGTCGAGAATAAACTATCTATGTTTTTATGGTTCATGCGGACGGATGAGGATTTGCTCAAAACCGGTTAAGCAGCTAAACACCGCCACACCCAAAGTGTTTCTAACGTTGAACGAGGCTGGTTTTATGGATGATAACACTAAAGGGCGCGAATATAGCCATCATGCTCGCCGCCACATGCTGGATGTCGTATCGGTAGGGCAAGAGCGAGTGTGCGACACAAATGGTGCCTGGAATCACACGGCAGCTAAACTACTGTACACGGGCTAGTTGCTTTGGCTTGCCTAAGCTCGGTCATGCGCAATTAATTGGTAGCTACTGGATTCGATGCCATTTCTTCACCAAGTGAACATGCAGTGTAACAATGACAATTACTTAGTGTGAGCAAAAGTGGCGATTAGCATCAGCGGTGAGATCGAATAGTGGTATCAATCAGTTGAATTTGACTCGTATTCAGGCTCGGTGTTCTCTGAATCAAACAGACCATCTTGCTCTAAATTAACCCGATTATTTCGTCCTCTGATTGATAAGCAGAAGAACAGGAAGGCGTCAGTACGCTGCCGCGCAACCACCACAAGTCGCGCTTGAGATAAGGATACTGCGAGGGTCGCCCGGCTCGAACCCGCGCCACTAGATTACAAAGCAGGCTTGTAACCATTATGACTATGGACCGGAAATGCAGTGTGTTTCCCGACAACGGTATAGGATCCCTAGGAGGGAGTGAGCATTTGTACCCATAAGTAAGGTTAGGGTTTTCATGCTTTAACACAAGGAAACATTGCCGGGTCATGAATTCGCTCCACTTCCTTTTTAACGGAGTCAAGGTATGACCTGCTTCGCAGAGAAACTATGCTTTCATTTGCTATTCATTCATTTGGCACGACTGTTAATGCGAATTTTCAGTTACGGCGTATCAAAACTAGGTAGCCGTCAGTAGAGGGGGTGGAACAGTAAGCTGCATTGACGCAATTTTCATTGTGTGGGTAGCATGTACTATGTTCCTAGAAGTTAATACAATTCTTTTAATAATAATAATAAAATATTTCTCGTTTTATAGAGCAACCGTGCACACAAAGGAACGGTTCATATTTACGTGTACAAAATGTTCACTCATGCAGACTTGTCAATGTTCGGGAAGACTTGCGTGGTTCTCACTATCTTTCCGCATCAGAACATGAGCAATCGCAGATATTTCCGGTGCAGATTGCTGGGAGCCACACGTACCTAGCCTAATCGGCATAGAGAGAAGGTTTTCCAGACTTGTTCGGAATGTGGTGAGATTTGCACATGCATGTAACAGAGAATACAATTTTCACAGACGTGAACGCCAACCAAAAAAGCTTAAAGTGGTGGCGCGATTAGCACTCACACGAGCTGAGGTAGTGGACGAAGTCATGGGGCTTAGGGGGTCAAACCTGTCAACTGTGCTTCGAAAGCGTGCGTAAGTGAAGCAAAAATCGCGATATACTGCAGTTACGGCAGTCCACCGCCTTCACCCATAACTCACCTGCTTAAGCTGTTACTGAATCAGGAGGTAGTCGAGAATTTATACGGATTACTGACAGCTTGTAAAGGGACGAAACTGTCCTTTATAGCGTTTTACTGAAGAGGTGGTGACCAACGGAATCTGATAGCAAAAGATTTTCCCACTGTCCAAATAGGTACAATGATATCCATGCAGAGGATCAACATGGCCTAAAAGCTATTGGTGTACACAAAGTTTGGAAATGACTCAAATCGGTAGCTATACTATTTTTCTTCAATTATTATGGTGTGTAAATCATTCATTAGTCGAGACAACAACCATACTGTGCACAACTGTGCCGCAACAACTACACTGTACACGCGATTGTTTTTAACTATGATTCGACACTATTTGAACGGAAGAACTTACGATCTTTCGCCATTCCACCCTTAAGGCACCGATCAAATCGACATTTTTGGCAGCTGTTTCTATTCTGCTTGTCGGAGACGGAACACCGACCATTGAATTTGCAAGTGTATACCAGCTTCTTCTGCACCGATCGGCGAAAGAATCCTTTGCAGCCCTCGCAAGTCATGGCGCGATAGTGGAAACCCGTTGCGTTATCCCCACATACAACGCAAGGTTCTGGTCCGTTGGCTGGATCCATATAACTGGGTATGTAGGGATCTTCTGTAAGCAAGAATAAATTAGCAGAGCAAAAATTGAATGCAAGTAATTCTAGTTTGCTTTCATTATTTTGGAACGTTCAGGTTGAGAATTTAAATTCACCTGTTGCATATGAGCGTACGATTTTCGCAATTTCCGTGAGTCGTTCAAGGTAACAGCCAGTCGCGGAGTGCAGTGCTTACCTGCCGGCCAGCAACATCCAACATACAACTGCTTCATTTACGGTCCCAGAGGACGAATTGACCAAGGTAGACTTCAGCGTGAATCGTTGTCCACATTGGGATTGTGCACAGCAATCCTCTCATACGAGTGCCTTAAAAGGAAGTACTTCAGCCGTAGGAGGTTGACCTGTGTAGCTCGGGAATGCAATATTTAAAGCAACTAGTGGTAAGCACTCTCTCCCTGGTTCGGGTCATGACCAGCGTGCCTCAGAACGAGTAGCCCAAACAATAATGATGGCGCTCACAAAGTGCAGTGTCTAGAGTAAACATTACACAACGCCTATCTCCGCCGTTCTTCGGTTGTGGATAAGGAAACTCAATGAGCAGTGGCCTGTTACAACTTTTGACCAGCATAGCTGACTTATTGGCAGGTAGGAAACGCAATAAAAGTAATCTGAATATGAAAATAGTTTACGATTATTTCAGCTGGCACAGAATCATAAACATGGGGGGTGGCGTAGAGACAGATTGATCGGAAGCCGGTGCATTTGTAGGGAACGTGGTCCTCATTATATATATATATATATATATATATATATATATATATATATATATATATATATATATATATATATATATATACAAAAAGACGGAGTCATCAAAAACCATGGGAATTAAAGGGATGTAGCTGTCGTAAAAGGAAACTGAACACAAAATAGAGCAATCCACAGTGTCTTCACAGGGTGTAGTACTACTCGGTTGCCCAATCCCAAACAGGGAGTTGTTAAGGAAAACCATCTTGTGATCTTGGCTGATTAGCTTGTTCTCAGGGCAGTAGAAGGATCAGGGAGTCACACCGATTGCGGGCCGGTAACTGATTGCTCAATTCATACCCTTAATTTTATGAGTAGCTAAAGGAAAACGCAACATCTCCCGAGTCCACGCTCTGGACTACAACAATCAGCTGAAGTGAACCAAGTGTCAGTGGCTTTAGTTAGTTACATCGCGATGCCGCAGTATTGTTAAGCGGACATTTGTGGCCTTTTATAGGGAGAAGGCTTGTCCTGAAATACTTCCGCCAGATAGGATGCTGGAACCGGCACAAATGAATAGTGGGACGGGGTGGCTCTGTCTCACAGCTAAATTCATTCCTGATTAAGCGATGTAACGTGATCCTACGGGCCTGGTGTACAACACAAATACTTCTCCCTACTCTTCAGCAGAGAGTACTAGGAGACAGTGGACCGAAAACAACTCATGAGACGCGTATGCAATATTGAAGTGTATCCTCTACATTCAATCACTTAAAGATTTCAGGATCTCTAGGTTCTGTCACACAGAATCTACCCATCTGAGTAACAATATTGCAGAACAATTCAGGTGAATGCGATGCTATATCGATTGGATCCTAGAGATGTTTAGCTGGAAATATAAGAATCGCAGTGTGAAGTAAACTTGATGAAGCATGTATAATAGGACCGTCCGAGGATCTTGTTCTGTCTGAAAAGTGGTCCACTGCGACTAATTGCGTGCGGCTGTCGGATCAAACCAGACAGAAAAATGAGTACATGTTTGATATGAACACGGAGGATTGGGACCAGGAGACATGTTAGCTGTAGGCACCACCTCTGTTATGTCGGTGGAATTCTATCCACCCATATAGTAACCACCGCAGGTAGATAACGCCTCAGATGGAGCGCCACAGTTCCCTAGTTAGGGTCTAAAAGACACTGAACACGTTTGGCTGGATACACTTGCTGACATGGCTAGGAGCCGACCGCAATGGCGTTCGTGCTGTTTCTTTATCCAACCCCATCCCTCTTCCCCTCCCCCTCCAACCACGATCTCATTTCTTAGCTTAACATAATTGTGCATACTAATTTTTTGGCCTAGTAGCCGGCTGGTAGCTTTCCTGAACGATACCCATCCGTTGCTATTAGCTCAGCTGGCATGCGATTGTTGTATTGACTTTCTTTTTTCTTTTATGTACCGCGACACAATAGCTGAGGTGTTTTACACCTCTAGCTAAAGTGTATACTGATGATGATAACGCCTAGATGTCATGACGTCGTTAGGTACTGTATACTCTCCAATATCACGAGGGCAGGAAAATAAGTTTCCGGATACACAGATTAGGTGCAGATGACCTGGCAAGAACAATGTGATCTGTAATCCATTCTGAACATTACCCAGTGATTTCAACTCACGGAACCCTATATCAGCAGCGCAGTACAGCTCACAAGTCATCAGGTGGATCTTATCGAGTAGATCTTATTATGACCTACCGTATTGTACATCTCGGTCATTTCACCATGCTGAGGTCGTTACTCCACTTCGAGTACCATGCACCACACGTGGGCACAGGTAAAAACTCGTGGTACCTGATCTGAAGAAAATCCCACACCCCCTGTGTTTCGAGCGGAGGGTTGTGCACGCCTGGAACAGTCTGCCAGAACACGTCGTCGAGGCCGAATCTGTGCAGAAATTCAAATCTTTGTTGGATGTACACTTCGCTAACATACGTTTCAGAGAACGGTTGCCACTTGACAACGATATCACTCACTTGTGACTCACTGTGTAAACAAGCATTTTGTGTGCTACAGAAGAATTTGCTGAACCATCAGGATAACCACCGGACGTGTTTATTTTTTTAATGTTCTTGATTATCACCCGATGGAATTGTACAGAATTATTTTCTACTTGCTCCAAAATACAGTATTCAGGGTTGCTATACTCTGTGTCTGGAACTCAGCCAATGTCACTGGAGGGTGATGATTTCCTATGACTACAAATGTGGTTTAAAGCAGCGCCAGTGCCGAGCGATTGCGTGCTGCATTTAGTGAGGATGCGCCTTCAAGAATCCCCGTGTTTGAGTAGTTTGCGGAATTCAGGCCTGGTAAGCGGTCCTGGATGATGAGGTGCGGTGTGGTCGACCTGTGGAGGCCACCACCGCGGACGACATTGCTGCTGTGCAAGCGATGCTGGAGGAAGAAGCGCAGGTGACTGTGGCACAGCTAAGAACAACCATCGGGATCTCATCGGGATGGATATGCACCATCCTTCATGAGAACGGCATCAGAAAGTTTTGCGCAAGTTGGGTACCTCATCAACTCAGTGAGGACCAAAAGGCAGTTCGAATGAATTGGTGCCGTACGAAACTGGCCAGACTTGATGCTTGACGTTCCAATGCTGTTTTGGAGATCCTCAGTGGTGATGAGACCTGAGTATACAGTTTCGACTCAGATATCAAAAATAGTCCCAGTGGATGGCCGTTTGTGGAGGGTCACCTCAGAAATTCCAGCGTGAGCGCAGTGTGGCCAAGTAGATGGTGGCTTCATTGGTGGCCAAGACCTGTCTTGTGGATACTGTACCGCAAAGCCAGCACAGGCTGGTAGGTCACCCACTGTCTGCCATAGGCGCTGGGAGCTGAAACCAGGTGTCGTCCAACGATTCGAGCACGAGAGACTTGCTGCACCATGACATCGCAGCTACACACAGGTCCCATGTCGTCGTAAATTTGCCGCCTAGAGAAGGCATCCAGGAGGTTGATCACCCACCCAACAGTCTAGACCTGGCTCCGTGTGACTATTTGTTTTCCCATGTCAAGTGCATGATGCATGGAATCCGCTACGATGCTCCGGAAGCTGCAGTAGACACTTTTATTGAGCTGCTTGAAGGGTTACCAGCTTCGGCATGATGTAGCTGCTATTTTAAATGGTTTAGGCGCATTGAACCGTGCATGAACGCTGGCGGAGAGTATTTAGAGAAAACGTAGTTTTTGTTGTAGTAAAAATAAAACTTCTGTGCATCCGACAACTTATTTCCCTACCCTCGTGTGGGCGTGTTTGTTGGTAGTATGGCTTACAGTAGCTGTTAGTTATTCATTGATGAAAAATTTCATGAAGCGCATGTGTCAGACTACCATAGGGTTGTACCTTGGCCGTTGCCTTTGAAATACTGTAGTCGTAGAATCTGTGTTCCATATTTGGATTTGAACCCATGCAGTATGCTAGGAACCGGTTGTTTACAAATCCATTTTCAAACACAATATAGAAAGTCTTGGATTCCATATCAGTCGAAACAGCTAACAGTTAGGAAAGTGCATAAAATAGTCAAACAAGTTGATCACTTCAAACAGTTGTGAAACTTGTTAACGTGTGAGGCCAAGTTCAGTCAATTAAGTGGTGATGAATGTGATATGCGCGAAAACATCAGTGCAACTTGGAGTTCAGCCTAGGTGCATTGTCGAGAGTTGATATGCAAGACAGCCTCGGTTCTTATATTTTCATGACACAATGCACATAGCACATTTGAGTAGCCGTTAGCCATAGAATGTGTGTGTGCATTATTTTCTGCAGAAGCCTTTTCGGTGTGGTGAAAATGGAGAAAAAAAGCTACCTTTGGGAACGAGCACTTGGAGTTTAAATGTTCCCTCCAACATGATTCGGTAGCAAAACCGTACGATTACATCCAGTCCACTATTCGCCTGTATAAACTCTCCGATATTGATTAACCCAAGTTCTAATCTTCTTATTCTTCTGTATCACTTTCCGCATGTTTGCGTTCTGTCACTGATTCGCTTCCTTTCTCCTGATTTAATGAGTTACTATTTGGGTAACAACCTTCACCATAACTGGACGCTGTACTCCAGTGCTCGGAGCTTAGTTAGTGTGAACTGAGTAAAAAGGTGGAAAACATATAGGAGAACAAAATACTAGGGCTAATTAGATTCATGAAGAAACTTCTATGCAACCAAGGTGGATTAAAGCAATAGGTTACAAAACTTGCCAATTTTATTGGAAGGTTGGTTGGATAGGAAATCGGAAACGATACAATGTAACCGGTTGTTTCAGAAGAGTCATACATAGTCCCCAACTATCGGTTCCAGTGCTTGTAGACATGGATTTCCTGATACCAGGAAACATTTACAGTCACTCCAGCGGGACTCATTAGTACACCATCGATTCCACTTCGGTGGGGTAGTTGAAAGAACTGGCAGAATAAATGGAAATCATCAAGAACGCACTGCCCACTTGCTTCCGCAACAGCTGCTGTGAAACAAACACCGAAGTTGAGGCCAAAGGTCAGGGACGTTACCGTCACGCGGAGCGGTCGGAAGCAGTCTGACAGAAGAGGACAGGTAACAAAGCCATCCGCCAATAGCACACGAATGTAGCATAGTTGAAGCAGACGTTGTGGAAGAGTGTGTTAGGCCAAGTAATCGATGAGTGGTAAGAGGAAGTAAAAAGATAACACAAATGCGCCACCCCCACGCAACCATCAGCGGTTGCATGGTGCATATGAGAACTGAAACTTGCGACCCGTGGATTACAAGTCAAAATTTGAACCACTGCGCCACCAGTTGGATTCGTTAGTACGGCTATATTCGGCTATGCTAGGTGACAGTGCGTATAGCAGGAAAGCCCTACTTTTCACCTACTAGTTGTATAAGATTTATGATCACGATGTCTCATGAGTTATGTAAGGGTAATCGACTTCTACAAAATAAAAATAGATCACGAAGTCGAACCCTGATGTTCATATGCTTAATAGTGGCTTCGGGACTAAGCATGGAGCCTCTACCAAGCAACACAGCAACTGGCTTAGACCATGCTGATGACATCGTCTTGCTGGTTACTAACTAGCATTGAGACATTCCGACCCTATAGGCGATTGAAGAATCTAGGTAAGGTATATGCATCGCCCACTCGAAGTGTACAAGTATCCTCCATGATTGGCATACACCCATTTCTGTGCTCAACCTTAGAAGTACATCGCTGCAGCAGGTGGACAGATGGCCTAGATGGAAATGAAGTTTATCTCATCGTTAAAACGCGTTCGGCGTTTGTCAATCTGAAACACAGGTGGCATCGTCTGGATGTTTCCCTCATGGTAAACGATCTCGTTTATAATACCTCCGTTCGAAGTGCTGTTACGTAGAAGCGAGTCGCAGCCAGTTCGCATGGATGACATGCGCCGTCTTTGCACCTCTTACCCTGTATGCTTGAGTAAGGGTACTCGCGTGTGGTGGCATCAGTGTGCAACGATAAACTTTGACTCCCCGTATTAGAGTATTCCTTGCAACAAGCTGGTCTTTCGGGCCAATTTAGATGATTCGGTCAAGTTCTAAGTACGTCATCGGGGCGTTCACCCCATTGTACGTTGTTCCCTCGTAAAGAATTGGGCCGGAAAGGTGCGTGGTGGTCAGCCTGGCGATAGCATATGAAATCACTGAATTCACGTCTAGCCACCGCTGGATACACAAGTCCGTCTGGTTGGGGACCCAAAGACCAGGAATGCCTGTGGATCGAAGGGCTTCAATGAATAGCACGCAAACGAAATCAATGGTAGAGTTGCGTGCATAATTGTTAAGATTCGCTTTCACTGAGCAACGAGTGAAAATGAGAAAAATATGTAAAACAAGTTAAACAGGGGTTCTGTTTCCTTTTGTGACAAGTGTATTTGTTCCTTTCCGTTGATTCCCGTGATTTTGGACGGCTGTGTCTATTCCTTAGACTGTTGTTATGTATATTCGCGGTGTTCTATCGCATCATCAAGCTAAATAACTGTCCTTCTCGAAGAGATGGTCATTCAGGAGCCATCGTTTTAGCTGTGTAACTCACACATAACGACATCGTCTAGCTCCATCGTGGCTGCAAACTATTTTATGGGTCTAAAGTGCTGTGTGCGAATAGATGTTGTCATGAGTTAGAACAACCGATGTTTTCAACACCAAATAAAAGTTTACAAGATTTCCCATTTAGGAAAATCTCATGTAACTCATCGTCAGTTACTGATTTCGGTGACGGCCACAGCCAGCTAGTGCCACCCATAGGTCACATACAGTAAAACCGTAACCTCTCAAGAGACTGGGCCAGTGGTCAACGTACAGAAGTAGTCAACGTACAGGCATTCATCCATAAGGTGAAATGGTGAATGTACAAGCAAAGAAAACTAAAAATCTTCAAATGTGGCCAGCTTGGGAGGCTTTACTATGCATCGGAAACAAACGCTCAACTCGCAGTCAACCGTGATGGAATGAGATAAGAGACTCACTTTTACGTTGTCTAGGAGGTTTCTGATTGCTTGCGCTTGTAGAAGTGTTTGCTGACTGCGGAGGTGTCATTCTGCTTGCCCCATTGCTACTGCTACAAGTAGACGCCGTGCCGTAACCCTCCACCACGGCATTCTGGAAGTACTCAGCGACTCCTGAGCACATCATCCCGGTGCCATCGGTGCTTGCATAGTATGTGGATCCGGCAACTGGGGGTGCGTCGGAATCAGGGTGCCCTCGGACACCCCAATACGAGTCGGATGTAATGGAGCCGTGCGAAGCGGGAACTAAGGTCACCAGTTCAGGCGTGTTACCCACTGAGCCAAACGAGGTGACAAAGGGGGGAAAATTACTCTGCGGGTGTTGAACACCGGGAGTGAGTTGCGGGCCTGTTGAGATCAAGGAAGCCCAAGGTTGCGACCCAGAGGAAGACGGGGATGATGATGAATTAGTCGGTGAAACTTGCATCCCAGTTTGTCGGCGTTGTGTATACAGGGGCACTTTCTGTTACCTTCTTCGCAATGTGTTGATTCTACGACAGGTCGATATTCGCTACCAAGTTCGAACTATCTAGCTCGGGTGAAGCAAGTCTGCTTTGTGTCGAAAGTCGGTGCGAGGAGTGCGTAATGAAAACAGGGCAACTGACTGAGTGAACGTTCTGAAGAGGACTGGCTTGGCCAAATTCAGGTCACGTCTTCACTGTCTCATCGCGGTTGGCCTGTTTGAAACGCGCGAAACACTAGGTGCGGCGCTCAACGCGCTGGTCTATCACTCCCTACCCCTTCCGCGTTCCTATTGGTTCTTCCAAAGGGTCAGGCAGAGGTCACACAACAACGTGTGCATTCGTGTGCATAAGCGTGTGCGTGTGTTGCAGAAACCTCGATTCGGATGGACAGCCTTGCGTACAGCAGTTGTGTTTACCGTTGCAACGAAACGCCTTCGGTAAATACGCATAGCCACTTGGCTGGGATGTTTGTTATATTTGAATTTGAATATTGGTAGCAGTTACGAAATTAAACTGACATCATACACCCGATTATGCACCAACATCTTGACGATGTGAATGGGTTTGCATATGTAGAATCTCGCAAGATTGGAAGCTTGTTTATATCTATCTGCAACGAACGGAAAATAGAGGTGAGATTGTCAGATCGGAGCCAAATTTGCGAATACGGCTGTAAACCACTTACCTGTGTGTTATCGTCAATCGAATGGTTTCGAGTTAGCTGCGAAAAACCCGCGTACCAAAACAGCTCGTTTTCTATGTGTCATATCTGGGTTATTAATAGCCCACGACTAAAAACCCCTCACTTCATATATAAAATACGGGTAGATGCATCCAATTGTATTGTATGTTTCTCTCGTTCAGAATGAAACATGTATTGTATTTATGTATTTAACACTTGCCCAATAAATATTTGGCAACCACAACACATGAGTAACAGTAACTAAAAGGAGAGTGAGTAGGAGGAATGGAAGCAAAGTTCCACGTGTTGTGTGGGCATTGAGCTTCCCAGTTGCACAGGCCGAGGAAGAGGGTTGACTTAGGCGACCCCACCCCGAGCCTATGGTCTAAAGACCTGACCCGGCAGGCAGCGGAGTGATTCATGAAGACCGTTGCCAGCCAAGTGGCTCATTCGCCTTCTTTGTGTTCGGAAGCAGTCCACAGAGAAGTCGGTGACCAGCGAGGTTGTTCATCCGCCCTCCGTTAGATACTCACCCCCAGTTACAGGAGTGAGTGGTCAGTGACTATGGCCGGTCATATTGGCTTTGACAGCGCCGTACGAGCACTTGTGGTATTTAATGGAGAACCAGATGACCAGCTCAGAACTTTCCACACTCTGAGACACTGCCGCTGATTGGCCGCGAATGCTTATTCATCTCGCTTGCAAAGCAAACGAGACTTATTCGTAGTTACCTCCACAAGGAAGACATTCCCCGATCCGCAACCTGGGGACGCGCCCGATAGCGTACAGCACCGAAACGGGCATGGTTGGCGGCATCCGGTTTCGGATCTGTCTGTCACTGTGGCCAGCCACAGGACGCATGCGCCTACAGAGGGACCATGCATGGCTTGCGCTGCACCACCCACAGCTCCATTCACACACCCCATATCCAGTGTAAACCCGAAGGAATAAGACAGGGAGGCATGCGGATGGGAGCCACGTTTCATCAACGGAGCCGGCCCACACTCCTTCACAGGCAAACACAAGCACGCTGTATTTGGGAATCAAGCGCACACAAGGCGGTGGCTGGACCGTAGTCCGCTCCACACTGACTGCATGGAACCACTGACCCTAACACGACGACAAGGACCGTGCACTCGTCCCCTCCAGCAACGACCAACTGTCTCCTGGAGCCAGATGGACGAGGTAGTGGGTAATAGACAGGTAGGCACCTTGTCAACGTGCACATCAAGCGCAGCCACACCTGGGATGTCGAACAACAGCCAATCACTCAAAATACCGATAAACGCATATGAGGACATAAATACTCACTAAATGAGCATATACAAGAAATTACTTATAAGTGAATCCGTGATAAGTACAAAATGCCTGTTATTCAAAAAAATACCACGCGATACAATTACGCAAATTTACCACAATTTGCGTGAGCGACGTGTGCAACTTGGAAGAAGATTAGCAAGTACGCAGAACAAATCAAATAAAATGTACCGAATTTTGTCCACATTAAAATGACCTAGTTTAAGTTGGGTTAGCCCAACTGCGGTGAAGTAGCATCATGAATGCAATATCAGCCTCAGCATGGGGCATAGCGCAATGATAATAGGGGTGCTCAATTTATTACATAACTTCTGCTTGGTGCGCGACGTATTGCCAACGAACTCACAGTATCTGCCCTGGTGTTTCAGGTTGGCTCACTCATTCATCACTTCCCAATGAACCGAAGTATCTGTCCTTCTGATGTCCAAAGGGCGAAGTCATGTATTAGATTGTGCACCTGACCGTCAGCCCTCGGTAGCTCAGTGGTAGAGCAGCGGACCGGTAGTTCGTTGAACCGGGGTTCGATTCCCCGTCGAGGCAGATTATTGTGTGCAGTTTAATCGTGATTTCTACGAACATTACATTACTCACAAAAACCCACAGATAATAGGGTTATTTGAATTGGATAAGAGGTTCATCACATGTAAAGAACCAGACAGATTTTACACGACCGGAAAACACTGGGCGGCCTTCTCATCCTCCCGGGAATCGTCGATAGTGCGCATTCCATTCAGTCCCTGTGCCTCTAAGACCCGCAACCCGATTGCTACCAGACTAGGGTTGAGATCACTGAGCTACGGGGGGACGTTAACGACCTAGATAATGTGATGTAGTGCCGCTCACTGTCCACTGATTTGCACATTACTGCCGAGCAAAGACAGGGTGGACTCCTCACCAAACGCATGTGCCTGGGCAACGGTGTGTGTGATCAACCATAGTCACTCCCTAATTTCAAGACAGTGTAAGACTGGCGAATGACTCACAACTGTATAAACTTTGTCGCTGGCTGGTGATGGTCACCTCAACGCAGAGGTAATGTGGTAAGTAGTAAAAGATTACAACTTGGCAGGCAAGTGGATAATCGTAATCGGTCTGACAGAATCATGTGTCGTTGGATTTGGAATCCTTGCTTACAGACGTACATCGACATCCGATCTTTGTTTAGGTATGCGAGTTATCTCAGCGTTTTCGTTTTTTCTCAAATCCAGGCTTGTCTCTGGAAGCAATCCCACCATCCCGGGTAGAGAAAAGGTCCTTTTGAGTACATTTTGTATGGCCCAATGAATGGGGCGGCTGTAAACAGCCCGGTAGGCCTTGTGTTCATCGACTTATTCATGCTGGTGAGATAAAATGACATCCGTAAAGAAGAAGCGAATATGCCACAGAACCCAGGTCACATAGATACTAGCTTGATTACCGTTAGTCGGTGCAGCAGATTGTACAGCTTGTAGCGTGTAGATCATTGTGTGGTACTCATTGGGTGAATGCATGGGGACGCGTAATTCACTTCGAAGTGAACTCGATCAGTTCGAACCACCTTTGAAGCAGACTAATCAAAATGCACATCAGAAAGGCTTCGAATTTGTCATTAACCGTTTTGGGAAGACTTATCTGCCGCGAATCGGTGGCTTAGGGATAGAGATTTCGACGATCATCCTAAGCGTCGTGGATTCGAGTCACGACCACGCTATTTTTGTCTGCTGAGTGCGACTTGGTGCGAAACCGGTCACGTATTGCAATGGCACAAGTGGGCCACACAAACCGTTCAGTACCTTGCGGAGGGCTATTATGGCATTTATGCCAAGTTACAGGTCATCTTTAGAGCAGAACGGAAGAGCTGTTTGTCATATGCGGATATTTTCATCAGTTGCAGGTACGACAGACTCATTCAGAGGTCCGTTTAGGGAAAAGCAATGCGGCACAACGATTAGATCATGTGCTAGTTTCCACCCTTGGGGTACAAGCGGAAACGAGTGAAAACATCACTTTGCTGCACCAAAAGAGATTTCTCGGCCGATTACATTATCGGCGAGCTGGAGTTAACTACAACCACACCGAAGTCTAACGGTCATCCACGAAGATGTAGTGAGAAGCATAGACAATAAGCGAGGACTGAAATACTTAGTGCGCTCGATAACCATTAATGTTTATTATATCAAGCTGTTTTCAAGGAGTTTTCACTGTGCTGAATTCGCTTGAGCGCATAAGCTGCCCTACACAGATAAGTTACTATGCTGCTCCAGTTGTTATTCTCAATCGAATTCGAGGTTTACCGGCACATCCAGCGAAGGAAGCTCAGCCAGTCGCTGCTAACTCAAAGCGGGTTTTGACATCAAATGTGACTGTGGCTACAGCTGCATGCGAAGAACCAATAGGAACAGAAATACTCGAATAAAAAAACGTGCCGAAATGAACTGCAGCGCCGAATTGAGCAGCACTGCTGACCCTTTACACTCTAGTAGGCCACCAGTTTCCTCTAAAAGATGACTTCTACTTTGGAACATTTACCAGATACCTCATGGTCTAGTAGTCGGACTCATGCGGTCACATTAGATCTCAGCTTCCTCAATAAACCGAATTAGGCTGTTTCATTCAAAGAAGTACCTTCACCTCAGGTTGTCATGTACTCATTGGACAAACAATCATCCTTCACTTTACTCCTCAGCTTAGTTTTGTTGCATTATTGTCATATGTGGTGAACAATGACTGGTCACGGATAAAAGAGCATTTGTTTGACAAATCTCATAGGATGGTAAGGGTGAATCGACAATAGTAAACGATGCGTGCGCCATTCGTTTAAGCGTCTATTAAACAAATGCGCCGCTGAATGACAGCAGTGTCAAATGAGGATTGAACTCATAAAACAAGACAACATAGAGGCAGTTAGAGTTGATGTACTCCGTGAGAACATTGAAAGCAAGATTACTCATTCAGATATCGCTTTCTTAGGCGGGCTTGAAGGCAGCTTAATGTATTCCAAAGCAGCGCAGTCTAACTTACGATGTGATAGTGGTCAAGGGCAATGTTCAAACGTTTTTTGGAGAACCTCCAAGCTGGGATGGAAACAAATGAGTTTGGGAGAAAGTTTCAGGCTTGGCAAAGCTGAAAACTAGTCGTCCGCATTCCAAACGTCAGTATTGTTCACTCAGTTTTAAGATCTTACCTATGGGATTGGTGTTATGGCTGTTTCAGCAAGCGGCGGCATACGTGGTTAGCTTCACTCAACATTTGGTGCACTAATATGAGATCGCCGCGCAGCATTCGGTAA